TCTATAGATGGTTTACGTGTTTGGATTAACAGTATTGCATCTATTTCCTTCGTATAGAACCACCTAGAGTACTTACGCGATTACGTTTCTTAAGTTACGTTGTTCTTTGGTTCCATAAAGTTACAGATATTTAATTATAGTGCCTATGCCGGATTTTTAAATACTTCTAAGTATGCACTATATTTCGATTAAAAGTGATTTACCTACTGATGAAGAAATACTTCACAAATTACAGTTCCTTCGCATATTAGCAATTCCTTCATCCTCATCATTCATCATTTTCAACAACTATCTTCTATATTTTGCCAAACCTTTTTGTATTCACATAACTACTTCTTCTGATTATCACTACCTATATATAAGTTAAATTTTCTAATATGTCTTAAGTTTACACAGAAAGAACTATAATATTATAATGAATATCATATTTCTATAGTGTTGATCCTAGGGTAAATATTGTTTTGAAAAATTTGTGTGTATAAGAAGACACTTTTATATCAAAGTTATTATTGAGTAAATTAGAATCCACTTCCATCTCATTTTGTAGAATTGATTCTTTATTTATTATGTGACTCAACCCTAATTAAATTGTAACAACCCTGAGTTCATTATTTAAATAGAAATATTAAAATAATTTTATAGTAATTTATGGAACAATTTTAATTCTTCTATTAGGTTCACTTAGGTCTTATTCAATAGTTTGAGTACATATGCAAAACTTATTTTAAATGGACTTGCGATTCTTAAATATTTCCTTTTCTCTCTTCTAGCGTATTTTTTTGTTCTACAAATATTCTGTAAATTTCATTTAATTATTTTTTAATCATAATTTTAACCACAAGTACTTCCTTGGATCTATCTAATAAAGATAAAAGATCTTTCTGTGTAGATCAGTAAATTAAGATCATAAGACCTACTATAGTAGATGGATATCATGAGATCTCACATACAACTCAACTTTACACTCTATGCAAATTTATAATTATGAAGATATAAATCGATTTCAATTCATATCAAGAAAAACATCACTAACTTATGACGATATTGCCGTTTCTACGTTATGAGCAACATAGTTTGAGTTATATTTTGATAATAGATTTAGTATAGTTCTTATATGACCTCATTTATAAAGTCATATATGACATTGAGTGGGAACTGAGAGAGATACGAATGCACCTTAAACTTAGGCTCATTTGCTACTTGAAAAATTGTTTTTATTTAGTTTTTAATTAATTTTAATAAGTATAACATTTATAATTTAAAGAATAGACTATTATCTTAAAGTCAAAGTAGGTTTAAACTCTGTAAAGTAGGTTCTGTACTAATCTCTATCGAAACAACAGGGCTTAGAAACATACTCTAAGTCCAGAAAGCAACACAATAGACTCGACGTTAGCCGTGCCATATCCCAGATTTTAACTTTAAACTAAAAGATGCTTTTAAATACTATTATATTTTAATAAAAAAATTATTTATTAGAAAGTTATTTCTACTCAGAATTATAAAATTTCCATTTTTATAAAAATTAAAATAAATAAAAAAAGAAAATTAATAATTTAACGAAATATTAATTTGAGTTGTAAACCTTCAAAATATTTATTAATAATAATAATAAATCGCCTTTGTTATTAAAAAACGAGAATCACTATAATATTATCGGAATACAAAATTTTCAACCTTCAAAATTAAAAACCAAATTATTAATAAAATAAAATAAATCTTAAATATTTTTAGAACATAAAAAATATCAAAGTGAATGCAAAAAAAAATTAATAATTTAAATAAAGAATTTAATATAAAATAAATTAAAAGTAAAATAAAACTAAAAAATGAGACACCAAATTTTTAGACACTTTAAGACGTATTCGTAATTCGTAATTCGTAGATCGTAGATCGTAGATCGACGGGTTCTCGTGAGTCAAATGGGTGCGTAAAATTGGTCGTCACGCGCCAAATAAAAATCTACACAAAAATACTCGAAAGATAGCGACGCGGTGACAAAAATTCTGAAACAGTGTGGCAAGTGACTAATTTAAAATTGTACATAGAAAAAGTGCTGTGTTTCAGTACCAGTGGTAAAAATTTAAAAATAAAAATTGAATAAAATAAAAACAAATTTTACAAAGCTTCAATTTGTAGTGAACATTTTTATCTAAAAACGAATTCAAAATTCGCTCAAAATATTATAAAATACAAAAATAAAATCAACTTAAAAATAAAACCTAAAAGTATTTGCAAGTGAATATTTGCACTATTTTTAAAACAATTTGTTATACTGCAAATACAAACACTTTTTATTTATTAAAAGAAATAAAAAAAATCCGTAAAAACTGTGAGAAACACCTATAAATATATCAGTAGATTAGTACAAATTCTTAAGTGCTTTTTAAGTAATTGATACAACAATAACAACCATAATATATAGAGCACATATTATAAATATAAAAACAAATCAAAAGAAAAAAATTTCTGAAAATGCCTCTCTATTCTGACTCCAATTTTTACTACAGCGGCGGCAGTAGTCAACTCTTTTCGCCGTATTATACTCCTGGTCATTATACAAGTTCAACGAGCTCACATGGAAGTGGTGCTTATGGACCTTATACCTCCACTTTTAATCGAAATTATAGCGGTAGCTATATTGTGCCTTTAACACCGCCACGTACTTCTAGTTATACTTCACATAATCTCTCATCGCGATATCAGCCAAAACTATCAACCATAACAGAGACATCTACATTGATGAGCAACCCTCGTCACACAACCCTCTTGCCACTGACACGCATACAATCGCCAAAGTTTACTGACTACAAACCCACAACAACAACCAGTCTAACGTCAAAATATATACCTCCACGACCAATACAGATCAACACTGCTGATATTGATGTGTCCTACTCACGGTATGACAAGCATAAGGAGAAAGAGGAGGCGCACAAAAGAGAAGAAGCGATAAAATCAACTATTAACTCAGAGAATAATAAACAGAGTGTAGAAAGTACAAATAACTCAAATGCAGTACTGGCAGAGGAACAACGTCCAGCGCGTTCTACCATCAAACGTGATCGAGCAGTTGTACGTTTATCGACAATACGCTCACGAAGCAGAGATCGTGCAGCAAAAAGAACTCCGAAAAACTCTAAGGAACATACTCCGGAGCTCAAGGAAAAGAAGCTTAAAGAGACAAGCGACACTAACGAAGAAAAATTAAGTTGGCGTCAAAAACTCGCAGATGATTTAGCAGCAATTCCTACCTATCCTATCAAAAAATCTCCAGGTGAACTTATGCGTGAGAGGTATTTAATACAGGAAGCAAAACCGAATGAGCCACTTGACTTAGCCCACAAGCGTATTGATGCTGAACTGCAAGATGTTATTAATGAAATGATTGTGGAAGTCGATCCCATAGATAATAGTATACGTCGATTAAGCATACCAAAATGTCCTACTTTTCACGATATATGTGAAGACATATCCTCAGATAAAATTGATGATGATCTTAATGCAGGTGAACTGAGAAGACGTGCTTCTATAATACTGGAACAAGAACAAGAAA